CAGGGTGCATGGCTAGAGGCTGGTACCCCATGTGAATCCTGCGCTTGGATCAATTGAGCAAGTCTGTTTCATGTATAGTAGGTAGTGTAGTGCCCAAACCAATGACCTGCATGATTGAGGCGTGGAAAATTCCATGTGGGCAAAAGCCGTGTCAGTGCCGCTAAGCGAATAAACTTTTCATTCGTTTCAAGGTTTGAACTCAATGCACGATAACATCAGAAATCTGCAATGAGAGCAGCAAGTAGGCGTGGAATGACTGTCCTTGGTACTGATCTAGTGTCGGACAAATAGGGCTCAATTAGTAGGAGTCCGTCCCTTCCCCCTCAGACACCAGTATATGGTGTGCTGCAAAACAACAAAAAGGCCCACTTTCAGACTCCTTTCGCATTTTTAGTGGGATAAGTGCTGGCCAAGGGCATCTGACGCGATGAGACCAAGGATTCCTCTCAACTACTATGAAGTAATGCGCAACCAATCGTCGTGCGGTCCCACCTATCAAGGATTCATGTCTGGACACTAAGATAAAATTCTCTTCCAAGGTTTTCCACGATCGACACCACATGGAATTCAAGTCATGAGAGGGGTTGAGCTTATCCAAAAGGTTGATCGCGACCGTGCGCAAATACCGTGATCTAACGGCGCTGATCATTTCGCCATGGAAAGGGCAAATTTCGTTCTTGATTTGAAGCTCCACGCATTTGCCAATGCGTGGAGCGACCCTAGGATATCTAGCTCACGCCACCGCGTATGTTGCGCGTGATGGCGCTGGACGTGCAAGGTTGGGCTACTGAATCCAGCATGTCAATGTGATAAGGCCATAGGATGGCAATGGGAGGAGATACTGTACAATCCGAGAAACCTGTGATAACTAAGTTCAGATCCATAATGTTGACGATTGCAGTGTCGCATGCGGGACTGGTGAGCATAGTTCGGGGAATAACCGACAATTTGGTGCTGTGGCTGCACGCCGGCAAGTAAGTTTGTCCCGCAGACTTTACTGACAAAAAGTAAATTCATTGCAGATGGGAAACCATCTCCAATGCCATGAACAATTCCATAGTGTGTTGGATGTCGAAGGATCAATTTGCATGGACGAAAAGGGAAAGCCGAACACATGTGAGGGCACATGATCTCGAGGGGCGTGACCTGCCAGCCACGTGCAGCCAAGTGGGAATGTTTCTCAGGAAAGCAGATCTCTCTCTTTGTCACGGAAGAGTCGTACAAGGAAGACGGTTTCAAGGCCAAAGAAGACTTTGACGGATCAGGTTAGGTTCGACTTGTCCCAATGATCTACATTTCTGCCGGACCATGAAACAAAGACGCGGAAATTGAGCGTGGTCCAGACCTTCATATTCCATCACGCCCACCGAGCACGGAATTATCCAATTTAGTCGTCAAACCAAAGAACTTCTCGGAAAGGGGGACTGAAAACAGATTGAATGGGGAGAGGAAATGAGTTCCCGGTCGGGGACTATGTGGAAGACTGTTTTGGGGAACGATACTCTCTCCTGAGAGCTTCAGCTCTAATTTGCTTATTGTTCTTGTGCAACAATACTACCAATCTCAGCCTCACCAAGGATCCATTCAGCTCACCCTCTGGTACTTCCGAACCATGCGGAAATTAATGGTTGATCCTACAACTTCCTCTTCACCAATGGGACACCAGGAAAGAAAACCAACAGACCAGGAACAGTGAAATGAGTCCATTAAGTAATTGTTGGTGTCACTGGTCGAGGAAGAGGTCTGGAGTCTCCTTCCAGCAGTGCAGCCTTCTGGGCTAGAGATTCAATTCAACCCAATGTCTGTGCTACATGACTTAGTCCCGCTTCTAAGGAGCCATGTACCACCAACAACCAACCTATCTGTCATTACCTTAATAGATCGCCTTCACATTATCCTGGCTCAGGGAGCCAGCAGCGAGGATGGTCAGTCACGTAAGAAATGGGTCCCCACAGACATGGGAATACGATACGAACCCCGGTTACTGCAATCAGAAATCGCATTTTAAGACATCCCAGGAAACGTGCATGTCGTGGCTGAGGCCCTTGCATCGGCTGGGCCACCACCCTTCGCCCACAGTATAATAGGGCCTCATGATAATGATCAGAGGTGGTAACATTGCAGTCGGTTCACAACAACCAATGACCAAGATGGCTTCGTGGATGCAAATCTTCATCAAAATTCTCGCCTTGGGATCGGTTTTCCAAGGCGGCAGAGCAAGTCCTTCTTCTCTATTAAACGTACACCAAGGATCTGAAGGTGTTACCTATCAACTAGGTGACAGTACTTATTTTGCCAATGCAAAGCATCCGCTGGATACATTGACGATCACCTACCCCAAAGATAAAAGTCACCACGGTACTGGCGTATACATGACATTGACAGTCATCGTTGCCAACGAGAGCATCGTAACTGCTCGCTACCTCAACGACACAATTTCGAGCTATCTGGCCAATGACGACGTTTTCTCCAGAGAGTTTCTTGGTGCTATCTATCTCACCTCGTCCGCCGCCAGTGCCAGTATTAACGCCAATGGTTTGGACTATCTGGCGAGTGCCGGTGCTGAGACCATCTATGTTGACTCCAGTGTCTTCAAGATTCAGGGCGGACGAGCAATACACGTGCAGCACAACTCCGCTAAGACTGTGACACCTGGTCCATATACCGTTGTAATGTCGAAAGACAAGATCAGTCTGCTAGACACATATCGCCTATTCCCTGACGCCTACCGCGATTTTATCAGCGGTATATATCCGTCGAATGATGAGAGTGGCTCTTTCGTGCCTCTTCAATTTATGTCTTCAAGGCTCTGGGTACCGGTAGTGCCGGTGCCAAGCCGCATCCATTCGTGGGGAGACCCGCGGCCGTTGGCTGGTAAACGAGTCGCTGTGAAAGATATTTTCGATATCAAAGGAGTGCAGACATCAGCGGGAAGTCAGGCATGGACCCAGACCACGTCAGTTGCCAACCGAACGGCGCCCGCGATTCAGCGGCTGGCCGATTTGGGTGCGGTTCTCGTGGGGAAGCAAAAGTTGGCACAGTTTGCGTCCGGTGCGAATCCCTGGGATTGGACCGATGGGCAAGCTCCTTTTAACCCACGGGGTGATGGATACTTGACTTGCGCAACATCCACGTCCGGGGGAGCCTGCTCGATTGCGGCGTACGACTGGCTGGATGCGGCAATTGGAAGTGACACTGGCGTTTCAGTCCGTCGCCCAGCGGCTGTTACAGGAACCTTTGGAAACCGACCCAGTCAGGGAATGATAACGCTGGAGGGCATGCTTGCTCAGAATTGGGCAGAGGACACAGCCGGTGTACTCGGGCGGAATCCGGTCGAATGGGCGAAGTTTGCCAAGGAGTGGTATACTCCAGATCTTCACCAGCCAGAGTCGATTACTGGATTATCCCCCCTGTCGGTGCCGAACACTATGGCCTTCCCAGCCCAAATATTGTACCCAGATGAGCAATTTCCCCTTGCCAATCCCGCCGCCCAGAAGATCGTTGAAGCTTTTCTGTCAAGCATGGCAAAGGCACTCAATATGACTATCAAACACACCAATCTTAGCGCCACGCTCATCGATGCACCTATCCTCTCAGACAAGCAGGACAGCTTGGACCGTCTTCTGACGGGAACCGCTACCCTATCGTATTGGTCATCGCATGTCACCGTTGCTGACCCTCTCATGACCGAATGGTCACGTCGTTACGAAGGTCGTTTCCCTCCAGTAGATCCGCTATGGCGCAGAGAATGGTCAGACTTCAATTCCAGTGTCGTCAACCAAGCAGCATACAACCAGGCTTTACAGGAGAAACGGAAAGGGGTCGACTGGTTTGAAAGTAATGTGATGCTGGAGACGCCCCAATCTTGCTCAGAGTCATTACTAGTCTGTGATATTGGCACCGGTGGGTTGCCCAGCTTCCGCGAGAAAGCCCTTAACGAGGGGCCCAATGCGACATTCTTGGGCATGATGCCAGATGGGGCCGCGATACCTTGTTCCTTGATTTGTCCTATCTTCGGGTGAGTCCAGTTGGCATCCTGTTAATGCAGAGTTGCAAGATGAACTAATGCGTTTGCTGCAGCTGCGCCGATTTCACCATTCCCTTGGGCCAAGTGCCCTATCATTCTCCGGTGTCGAAGGTAACGGAACAGTTTCCCGTGAGTATCAATCTGATCGTACGTCGGGGATGCGACTTTGTATTATTTAATATGGTAGAGAAACTGGCGCAGGCGGGTATCATTCGGGCAGTTAAGACTGGCAGGCAGGCATTTTAGTCAAGGAGCTTCGGGCCATTTCCTGCCTGTTTGTAGTTTTATATTCTTTCTGGTGTATTATAGAGCCACTGCAGTCAAAATTAGAATTCCTGCTACATGATTATCAACATCATCTGAAGCAATCAGAGCCAGTATAACTGCCTTGGACTGCAAGTTAGTACAATAGAGGTCTCCACCCTGCCGCAAATATTTTCTACCAGCCAGTCGCTGATCGATCTGTATTGTACCAGAGAATGATCCTGTCTTGCTATAACAATATCATCCGACATCATTCCAGGACATTCGTGTCAAACACGGCTAGCCTCCTTTTGACTACGAATTTTAAGATGCCAGTTTCAGGGTAGATACTGTCAAGTGACAACAGGGCCACAAGAAATGTATAGCATACAAAGCCGCGAGTTGCCAACCCCTACTTAGAAGCCTTGAAAGAAATAACTACAGTCTGGCCACTCAGATATACTCCCACATGAAGATCAGAGAAAGGCGAAAAGACTAACTTGACTCCTGCATCCGCGCACATTTGTTAGACACACCCAGATATGGCAATTATATAATTACTAGTTTAAGTCTCTCAGTACTAATAGCATTAAATCTGCAATGTTTTCAGGGCATTATTCATCTGGATGTATATCCATGGTAGACATTAGATATCACTGTATTATCAACAGAAAGTCGCTCCAAACAAAAATTCAAACTAGTTCCACACATATCATACACATAAAATGTTTTAGTACCATCTACCAAGGACGCCCTGCCCTGTAGACAATCTTCGATATTCCTCGAGAGCTGGACTTACTGACTTAGGACGTTCGGATTCCGTCGACACCTTTGCCGTCGAGATCAACGGAGTGTTCTCCTCCGCCTTAGTCCGAATATAATAATGCTCGTCATCCTCTTCCATACCCACGAACCATTTCTCCTTAAATTGAGGTCCTTGAGGCCCGGCACCACAAGCACCCTCTAACCGCGATGTGGCCGGGCTGTTGATGGCCAGAGCGAATAGGTTCTGCGGCTCTGTGAAGTCGGTGAGCTGCCGACCCTTTTCGCTTAACAAGTAGCCGAGACACAGGATGCTGGTGACGAAAGTGAGGAACAAGACTGGAAAGAAGGCACCCTGCCATTTCTCTGTCCCGGCGGATTGGTAGTCGACGATGCTTATAGTGGCGTTGAAGTATTCGATCTCGGGTTCCGCGAGGGAGGCGTCAGAGTGATTCCAATAGGGAAGGAAGGTGGCGTTCTGCGTCCCCATAATCAAGGTATTGCCTGCCATTACTGCCAGCGCCTCCGCGAGAGATGGTAGACCGGGCTCCAGGGAGTAGTCCGAGGGGGTGAGCTGCATCAGCAGTCGGGCATTGGATGCCTTGCCGTCATTGATGCCGGCATTCAAACTCAGGGAATTCCCCCATTCTGATCCGATGTTCTTCCAATCCAAGCTCCAGTTACCATCCACTGCGTCTGGAAAGAACCGATCGAACTGCCACTTGTTATTCGGCTTTTCACAGTCCGTGATAAACTTGGCTCCACTGGCAGATGCAGTATATCGCACGGAACAACGCGGTGTCCTTTTCGCCTTCATTGAGCATAGGGCGTAGTCCACCCCCGTGGCGTTAGGAGGTTTCCCCAATACATACATTGCGTTGCCAAATGGCGCCGAATGGTTGAGGATTGTCTGATACTCGCCGGGGAGCCTGCCAAAAATGGGTGGACGCCATCCATACTTTGGTCCCCAACCGAAGATATCGTCCACAACAGTTCGATTCAGCCAGGAGTCTGGCCAGGTAGGGAGCTCCTTCTCTTGTTCTGCCCACTTCTCCACGTTGAATTTCTTCCCCGGCCACATATCATAGATCAGTGGTTTCAGTTCATTAGCTGTCATGCCCACGCACAGCACGTTGATTGCCGGACATGGAGCAGCGACGACCATGTCAAACTGACCCTCCGATGAATTTTGTGGCTGTTTAAGTCCATTGACGGGGTCCTTTGCCGCGGCGAGAACTCCAGCATGAGGCATAGCAGCCGTAACATTTAAGACCATCCGTTTATGCCGCAGCGACAACTCCGTCATGTTGCTGCGATCGATCCAACTTCCAGTCACCGTTGTATTATCGTGGATCGAACCCGAGGGAGGAAGTCGCTCTTCTAACACAGCCGACGCAGCCTGGCCGTTGGTCACCATCTTGCTCCAGCGGTTCAAGTAAGCAACGTAGTTGTGGTATGCCTGTCCGACGTGCTGTATTTGAAGACATGTTGTATTACGGTAAATTGGGTCCGCCTGGTTGAGGATCGGCGTTTCGCAGTTCAGGCCCATGTAAACTGGGTTAAAAAAGTCGGTAGAAACATTCACTCGTAAAGTTCTATCTTCTTGCGGTCCTGCAAGCAATTTGGGTGATACTGAATGATCGGGGTCAGAATCATAGACGCCACTACTGTCAACCTCAATCCCGTCTGGGCCTGTGCACTTACCCAATGCCTCCGCTGCAGTTGTATACAGCATCGCGATGATGGTCGCCGTCAGAGTCATCGCACCGAGAAAGGTCAAGGCTGAATAGCGCAATGTCTCCCAGTGAACTATCATCGACCCCGGCTGCATGATCCATGTCCGCATGCTCATGTCGGAAATGGTGATGCCGTTGGAGTCCTTCTGGAGGGCTCGTCGACTCAAGAACTGCCCCAGACAGGCGACAAAAACGGTAACGTATGCCAGTTCAATTGTCTTCGCGAACATCGCAATCAATAAGTTGGCAGTCGAGGGCGCAACATTGCCATCGACGCCGATGAAGTTTCCATATCGCGGCTTCAGACAGGCGACAAAGAAATATAACCCCGACCACACGGTCGCATATACCGCCAGCACCAGGATGGTCATGGGCACCCAGCGAAACCATCGCTGGGCGATTGTATCTCTATGAGGACATCGCACCTCGCTTTCTAGAAGGGGTGTTTTCGAGGTGTGCGACCGCGGCGTGGCCTGCTCCGAGAGGTGCGGGGAACGCGATTCTCCGCCGGGACGAGCTTCATCCAAGCCTTCAACGAAGTGGATGGATTCTGGCCTGCGTCTCACATTTTCGATTCCTAGGCCCACCGTTGTAAAGGCCTCATTGTGGGAGGCGATGTCCTGCTCGTGGTGCGAGGAAGATGTCCGCTCATAGCGGATGTAGGAACGGTCGGAGTCGGCCGGAGGGCCCGCGTCGAATGGGCTCCAAGACGTTTGTGGCCGGTCGGGCTCGGAGTGGGATAATCTTGACAACGGCGGTAGAAGGTATTCTTCTTGATTTGAAGGCATGGTACCCAGAAATCGACATATGGTGGTCAATGAAGACCGTCATCGGGGCGAGAGGAAACCCCACGCGAAACGGCCTCTCGAGTAGAATATGTATTCACTCCATCTGCAAGAAGCACACGGCTATCTCCACGGTTCTCAAGCTGCAAGTGGTACAGCTTGGAAATGAACTGGTCCAGCCTCAATTCCTTTGGCTAGGGCGTCTTCAAATCAACAGGGTCCCTTGTGGATCTTCTGCCCGAATGGCTTAGGTCTGGCTTCTTTCCACCAATAGTCCTCCTGGACGAGTCCGATGGCTGTTGGTTGCCAAGAGGCCCGTTCAATATAAATAGATTAGCGGTGTTTCCTTCGTACGACGAAAATCCCAGAAGGCTGATTTTTCTGTCCGGAATGATGGGATCAACGGTGGGCAGTTCACCTTAGGGTTGTAGTGGTCAGATGGCACGTTTGGTCGCACGCCGAGAAAGAAACCACATCAGAATGTCAGTTCAACCTCAGGATTCGTAATCTCGCCAAGTCGCAAAGTCCAAACCGGTGCGTCTGACGTGCAGGAATGGACCCCACTATTCACTAGAGCTGCCAATCCGTTCAACGTCTACCTCTTACCAGTCAGCAGCCACCTCGTAAGGCCTCGGGGTCCCGCTCGGGCGGCTCATATTGGCCTGGAACCCTACAGGCCCATTTTTGATTCAACTGGTTTAACAGTGGCCAGGACATGCTGGCTCATATCTAATATCAGCGATCAGCGACAGTAGCTATGGACATATTTTCTCTAAAGGGCAAAGCCAACCATAGTGATAGGCCATGTGACGCCTTGTCATTGCGATCTACTGTACAGCCACAAGGCAGATAGAGTGCTAGTAGGCCCCGCCACATTAGCTCCACGATTTTCCATGATCTATGGAAGCGAAGGATGGCTAGCCTGGCCTTGGACAAGGCAACCAAGCTTCACAGAAAAATAATAGTACCACAGGCGTGTTCGTGGCACGGAAACCCCGGCTCCAAGCTCAGCTGGCTTTGTCTCTATGACATGTGAGACACACCCGGCTGGAGTCATTACATCCGAAATCCATATATACAAATAAAGATCTAGGTCTAATTCTGTGTATTAAACCTAACACAACGTGCGAGGGTCACATTCTTTTTGTTGGCCGTTAGATCCCGACATCAATTCAACGTTATTGGGTAGCTCATTGGTAAAATGTTACCAACTTGGCGCACCGGCTGCAGCTCTGAGCAGTATTTTGGACTTTCAGCCTTACTCCAACTAACCAGCGCCTCGTAAGCTTCATGGTGGAGCGGTCCGAGCGTCGATAGGACAAATATCATGGATACAATAATAGTAGGCTTCTGATTTGCAGCAATGGAGAATGGAGGTTGTACTTGGGCCTACGAGGTAGTGCAGGTGGCTGCCATGCATATATTCGCATATAAAGACCCCGAGCAACTCAGAACCAAAGGTCATTAGCATCATATGACTGTTAGAAGTCCAGCAACAAGTGGGAAGATATTGTATGTAAAATACTTCCCATGCGGTTTCAGCTAACATATGCATCCTGCCGTCAATAGTTCCCTTAGGGTTAGGCATTCCCTTGTACAGAATAGGAAGCTCATCAGCCATTCAAACGGATACTGGATGAAACTAAGACATTGCACCACAACTTTCTGGTCGTTAGTCAATAATCGTGTAATACAAGCAGCCATCTATTGGTGTATGTGGCGGGGTCGGAACACAGAGATGGTTGACGAGATTATAGCCTGCTCCGCGACTAGATTATGGACATACCTCACCGGCTTCCTTGAGTAACTGAATTCAGGTTCAGAGAGAATAGAGAGGCTGAAATTACAGTTCACTCCCACGGCTGGTCCCCAACCACTGTCCTGCATGGGTAGTAGTTTATGAGGACTAGCACCTGCAAGACTACTCTTATGCTTATACTACCCTAAGGATATCAATCCAATCGTGATCTTTCCTGTGTCGCCGTTAGATTGTGATATAGCCGATACCAACTACCAACTTACCTGGTCCCTCTCTTTTGAGTCAAGGTCTGTTGCATAACACACCAGTTGTCCGGTAATGAAAGGAGACGTGGGCGGGGCGTTCATCAAAGGCAATCAGTAATAGATGGAACTGTAACCCCAGTGTTATAATAGCACGTAATGCCAATGCAAACTCACTGCGGTAGCCTGATCCTCCACACCTAGGGTGAGCTGAGACAGTCGCCGGGGTCTCCCAGGATGTATTTGTCTCACTTCCCTGGCCGGCGACAACTTGTCTTGACTAGGAGAGATGCATTTAACGAAGCATATGCGACGAGGTATGAAACGTCGATTCCTTTACTTGAGTTATCAGCCTCAGCGATAGTAGCTTCACCTCACGATTCTGCACCTACTTCTAGACTCTCGGGGGTTCTTGATGTACTGAAACATATCAATCCATACTAGTTTGACAACCAAAGACGTAGCTTCCATGTATATGCCAAGATTTGAGGAGAACAACTGGTCAATATTCTCACTCCTGACCCCATATCCTTTCGAGAGCGTTGTTTAGTGAAATGCGAGCTTTTGGATCCGTGTTTGTTAGGTCATCGCCAATAGATTGTAACTTTTCGCCAAATCTACTGGTGCCCATTTTCCTGGCCATAGCCAAAAGTAGCTTTCCATAAGCCCAACAGTCTGTAGCGACGCGTGTGTCGAATGACGTGCTAGCAGGAACCGTTTCAATGCTTCTTTGAATGATATTTTGCATCTCTGGCGAGAGCCATTCCAATTCATACCCACCAGTTCCACTGATATCGATAAGGATGGCATTCTTATTCGCGTCAAGGACGACATTCGATGGTTTGATGTCAAGATGAGTCCGTCGCTGTGTATGCAATATTTCCAATGACCTCCCAGTCTGTATTGCCCACCGTCTTAGCAATAAATCATCTAGGTCTCCATTCTCCGATAAAACTTGCTCAAGAGAGCCTTCAGAATAGTATTCAAGGAGGAATCATGTGATAACTGGTGAGGAGATTGTTGATGGACGGGTCTTATACGGATTATCAGATATAACAAGCCCGATTAGTTGTGCAATGTTCGGCTGTCCGCGAAATTGTGCGAGGGCGGTAATCTCGTTGATGATATGTTGTGTGTCTCCTGGTACATAGAGAGGGCGGTCGATCTTTTTGTATGCAAACTGTTTCTGCTTGAAACGGACTTTCGAGACAGTTGGGGCGATGATCTCATCGTCTTCTAGATCACCAGCCTTAAAGATAGATAGATGTTGAGCTTGGTCTAGAATGGGGTATATAACTCTCCCTGGGTCTTCTTCAATCTGGGTGGACTTCATTCCAATCGTGGAATGGCTTGAGTTCCAGCTCGTGAGATGAAGCAACCGACTTTTGGGTCATCTCGTCGGATGAAAGGAAGAGGTTTGACTCGCGTTTGTGAATGTCCAAAGTCGAGAGATGAATTAAATGAGAAAAGAGAAAGGGGAGAGTGCTCATGAAATAGATACGCAGGATCAGGGGCCACCACTCGACATATCTTTCCTCAGGTTCAGCCTATCCTAGGTTACATAGTAGTTGCCATGCTTACACTTATTGACCAATGGCGATACAAAGACCAGTTTGGTGCATATGTGCTCACTAGGTTATCTGTCGCAAGCCCTTTCGGCTGACAGTACTGGTACCAGGAGTAGTTTTCCAGTGAGGGATACGAAGACTGGATACACAGAACAAAGAGAATCCCAGTGGCCCTCTCAGAGAACAATCAATGTCAGTTGGGGTTCGATATCATGGTGTTTTCGCCGCCTTAACACTGTACTTGCTGCTTTAACCAACGTGATTTCTCCCTTCACCCTACATTTAACAGAAAGAATGACAAGAACTTTCCTGGGATTGTCCAGCACGGTTCAGTCTTTAATCCAGTGAAATTTCTGACATGATCCAAAGTTTCTCGTTTTTTTCCGAGGGAAAAGTATTGTGTATCATTCTGTTGAAAGCTGAATCGGTCTAGCTACGGTGCTTGACTCGATGAGGCATAGCTTGTGGTCACCGTTCACCATCAAGATAACTCGTTTTTCCTTTTCGGGTCCACGATCCCTTAATCTCAGTGATCGCCCTACTCTGCGCTATCCATGAGCGATCTGGCATTCTTTCCCACTGCTCTTGATCGATGCCAATATGTCCTCTGTCTTGAGTAGTCCAATCAGGCCGCTGAGATCAAGACTCGGGTGTAAAACTTGCAAGTAAGTGCTTACTTTCTTTTCATCGGCAGGGTATGAGTATTGAGTACGTTCTAGAATTCGAAGAGTCAAATGTGGCGAAGAGAAACCAAACTGTGTGCGATGCACCAGTACAGGCCGTAAGTGCGAGTACGAAGGCACAATTCCCGGCACCTTCTCCTCCACGCCTTGCACGACTTCAATACAGGACCACCCACTTTCATTGCTGCCCAATACTGTGTGGCGTGAGCGTCGTGCCTTTGCCTACTACTTCCAGCAGGCTGCTGTGTCCCTCGGTGGTGGACTGGATGTTCATTTCTGGCGGTCTATTGTTCCGCAAGTCTGTCGAAGTGAACCGGGCGTATGGGATGCCATCATCGCACTTAGTGACCTGTTTGAGAGTCCCGCGCAGGACCCTCGTTCTCCCAGTCCGAAGCGCCGAGACGCGTTAAGCTGGTATTCACGATCGGTGTCTGCTGTCCGTCAGCGAATTCAGCGAGGTGACATAGATATTTTTGCCGGACTAATAACCTGTGTTCTCTTTATCAGCATTGAAGCCATCCAGGGAAATGAGCAGGAGGCCTTGCAGCTGTATGGTCAGGGTGTGCATCTCATTCGCACGCTGCGCGCTCAAATAGCGTGTGGGGTTGTGTCAGCAACCAAAGCTTCCTTGTTAGAGGATGTTATCGTCCCAATATTCGTCCGTCTCGGAGTAATTGCTCTCACTATTGCTCATCTTCCAGTGAGTGGTCTACTGCTAGACAATGATCCTACACTAGTGCAGGAATTTACCTCCCTCAAGTCCGCTCGGGAGGCCATCGCTCTCCTAAGCACTGAGATCCAGCTCTTTGAGCGCACTTGCATTGAGCATCGACACGAGTCTCATTCCTCCAATATGCACCCAGAATTGATGGACCGACAAATGGTCCTGTCACGCAGGTTAAAGGGCTGGCATACTGCCTTTACCGTCCTCATTGAAGGTCTACACGCGAAAGGTGTTCTATCACAGCAACAGATTGGCACAGGTGCCCTTCTTTTAACCTACTATGAGATGTCATTTGTTATACTTGCAACCTGCATATCCTCATCACACATGGTATATGACGCTTACGCGGCAAATTTCCAAAATATAGTTGAACAGTCTAGCATTGCTATCAATGCATTAGCACGATCGGACGGCACACAACCGCCGTTTACGTTTGAAATGAACGCCGGTTTTCCGCTTTGGTTCACCTGCCTCAGATGCCGGGAACCCAAGATCCGACGCATGGCACTAGCTCTGTTTCGTCGAGGACCTCAAGCTCAGGGTTTCTACAACTCCGCCGGAGCAGCAGCCCTGGGTGAAAGAGTCATGATGCTAGAAGAAGCGTTGGCAGCTAGAGCAAATCAGGGTAAAGCCGAGTCTCTAAGACAGGAATCAACCAATTCAGCTATTGAAAATAAGGCCTATAATCTAGACCATGATACCGACGTTTCCAAGGCCGATTCTAGTTGTCTCCCTGTTTCTCAAGACTCTGAACTCGCAGTGTTTGTTCCGGAAGAAGCACGTCTCGGACCCATTGGTATCTTTCGGTCACAAGATGGATTTCCGCCAGGAACGAAGGAGGAAGACGTCGCGAAGTGGAACCAAAGGCGCGACCAGACCTTTTTGCGGTTCTCACGGAACGAGTATGATCAAACGAGCGACACCTGGCGTGTTGTTCATGACTATGTTCCTATTGATAATTGATTAGAGCATGAACGATCGTGATGTGTATCGCATAGTGGCCAAGAAGATGGTAGCATGACCGGGCAACAAAGCGATCACTTATCACCTGGCCTTTACGGTCAAGGGATATCCTATTTCAGCTGCAATGAGACATACAAACCTGCATATGGTATTTCTACCACTGTGGGTGCCAGGGCCAATACGTGCTGACTGTGAGCCCGGGCTACCCTGCATGTGCTATGAGTCTCGAAAAACACATCGACTATCTTGGCTTAAAAGCAAGGTAGGTATCTCTTGCCTAGACCTGTTGATGTATCGAGTCTCAACCAGAAAATGCACCGTGCATACAACATCCAGCTATCCTAGACAACTTGCATCTTGAGTGATCTTGCCAGTTCAGGCCGTCATCATATAGCGAATATCCGCAGACGATTCCCAAAATGTCAGCTACAATGCCTAAGGCCGAGTCAATGCGCTCTACAATCAGCGGATCGACTAGTTTATCTTTGCGCTTGTGCAAAGGCAAGGCCATGACGCTTATCTCGCAAATAATCAGCACGTTTAATACAAGGCCATCTCCACCAGCCATGGCACTGTTATTTGTAATATGCCCTGCGGACCCTGGTCAGCTGGGGCATGGCTGCATAGGTCCGCTTCTCTGTATGTAGCCAGAGTGCTAGCTTGGGACAGTTGCAAACCGAACCGCAGGTGCCATTGAATGGGAAGAGGAGTCAAGGGCAGCTCGATGGAATGATGCACATGTAGGGGTACTCTAACATCTGTCCCTGGTCGCATATATAGAGATAGACGGTCGTCGCTTTGCATAGAAGCTCCCTCAGCCATTGTCTAGACGTGTCTTGCCTATCTCAAGCTCATCGAATATACCTTCAACATCAAGATGGCCAGCGGAATCCCCGTTCACCTTCCGTGGCCCTATCACCATGGCCGCACCCACCGAACTGGAGGATGGTTGACAGAAAACCCCGACACGGTCGTCAGCTTCGTTCGAAAGGTCGCTCTCGAAGAGGCCAAAGCGAAGCTCCCCCTCCACCCCATCATCCAAAAGTTCCAAGAAGCCGTCGACGGTTGCCCAGATCTCCGCATGTTTGCGTCCGCAATGCTCACCGAAGTGCCCGACAAGCCCCCATACATTAACGACCCAACTGGCACCAAACAGGTTCGGGACTTTGACCACCTTCTCCATCTATTCAACTACACGATGCAGAAGGTCGCACCGCAGTGGAATATCAACGAGTACAACGTGGGCCTTATTGGTACTCCTTTCAACGCAGTGCTGGACTGGCCCATGGCTACCCCGAGCGGATACGCGTTCTTCCTACGCAAGGAAGTCAACTTCCATATGAAGAGGATTCTAGATTACTGGAGAGATTGTTTCCTGTCTACATCCGCTTCCACAAATGTCCTAACCGAGGAACCAAACGGGTGGCTGTCGGAGGAAGCCCGCAAAGTAATCGAAGACGAGACCAATCTCGATCCAAACCACCGATACAGCTTCGAGGAATTGTTCGGACACAGCAGGGCGGACGGCAAGCACTGGGGCTTCAAGTCCTGGGACGACTTCTTCACCCGCAAATTCGCCGATTACGACAAGCTTCGGCCTGTCTATGCCACCGACGACGACTCCTGGGTAGTCAGCGCCTGTGAATCGAAGCCCTTCGCACTCCAAACCCACGTGAAAGCCTACGATGCCTTCTGGTTGAAGGGTCAGCCCTACTCCGTGTACGAGATGCTAGAAAAGGAAGAGGAGGCCGAGCAATTCGTCGACGGAACCGTCTATCAAGCCTTCTTGAGCGCCACATCGTACCACCGTTGGCATTCGCCCGTCAACGGGATCATCAAGAAAGTGAAGCTGATCCACGGGACCATGTTCTCCGAACCAACCATTACCGGGTTCATGAACCCCGAAGGCCCCGACCCGGCTGCCCCAGACAGGGCGCAGGGCTATATTACGCATGTCGCGACGCGAGCCCTCATCTTCATTGAAGCGCCGGAGCCGGTCGGGCTCATTTGCGTCGTCACGGTGGGTATGGCGGATGTCTCAACCTGTGATGTTACCGTTACGCAGGGTGATACCGTGTCCAAGGGCCAGGAGATCGGCATGTTCCATCATGGCGGATCAACACACTGTCTGCTGTTTCGGAAGGGCGTCAATCTCACCTGGGTGACGGATGCGTTTCCCGGTGTGAGTAGTAAGAATCTGCCCGTGCGGGGTGCTCTGGTGCATGTCTCGACTGCAGACACGCAAGTGGGAGATGGTTTACATGGATTTCCGGAGCGTCGTCATGGCTATGGCGATCGGTATGGCCGAGGATACAGGGGCAATTATGGACATGGCGGTTACATTAAGGGTGGTTATCTTGGGTACCACTAGGTTAAAATGGAATTCAGAGATGTCGAAGAAGCCTATCACCCCTGGTGGTTGGAAATAAGTATTGATGTAGCTCTGGGGTATGAATTAGACTACGATTGCATCAGGGGAACACAGCAACTTGAGGCATTCTTCATTTTGTATCTGTTTATAGATCCTCGTCGTCGAACAACATAGTATCTCGCTACTTTCGGGTTTTCCCCTTTTTTTCTTCTTTTGGTATTAGCTTTGAGGGTCTCCCTGTATCCGATAACAGCAAACAGTAGAGCGCGTCTTGCGCAAAGTCAGCCTCCACTCTACATTGACGCCGTTCAAGCAATGATAGGCAACAAGCCCAGCTTCCAGACCCCTGGTGAGAAATGTATCACGGACTGCCTTGGATCCAAACAGCCAGTGTGGCGAGGGTTGTGTAAACCATGAAGACGAAACCAAGCGACATCATAGCAATGTCTCCCCGTTTCTCCCACGGAGATTCCGCCACGCCTTTCCAATGCAGGTACGCTGGATAGATATATACCAGCGGAACACACGCAAACGACCCGATGATGGATACAAACTTGTCCAAGTCACCCGCACCAACGGAGGATATAAATCCGCAGCAGAGAACGAGGAACATTCGAAAGATATTCTTCTTCCATTTGATCGACGGGTCGCCTTTCCCAGACTTGTGCCCGAAGAGTTTGCCCTCCATGATTCGGGTAGCTGGAAACAGCTGGATTGGAGCCCCAACGAGGACGGCGAGCGAATACAGAAATTGGATCGTGTTGACGAGTCGGTCTGTCTGGGGGAAATTGCTGAAGATCTCTGTCTGAGTTCGGTTACCGAACGTAGCATACGACAATGCACCGACTGCTGTGAAGAGTATGGTGATGATCGCCATGACGATGTATAGGAGGCGGTCGAAATGCTGCGGCTCTCTCATGGACGATTGGATCGGCAACACGAGACCGATTCCTTCGAAGGTGAATATCGACGAACCAATGGTCAGAGTGAATGACTGCGGGTTGAATAGCTCGACGGTTGGGTCTGCTCCCGGTCGCTTTATGAGAGTCGCAATGTCATACCAGTAGATGTATCCAAGTCCCAGGAGAATGAACACATCAGAAAGCAGCGCTGCCGGGCCCAGCTTAGAGATGTTTCGAATCCATGCCAGAGGAATGAGCACCAGCAATTGGAGTAAGATCAAACCGCCCGTCGATATATCAGTCGCCATAGCCTTCAGGAAGGCCTGCATATTCTCGGCGGTGAAGATGAAGCACGTGCACACGAAGCCCATCTGAGAGATGGTGATGGATGAGAGGATCAAGGACCGGAGACGGGATCCTGCAATCCGCTCCCCAATTTCGCCATAACCCCCACCATATTGTCGGCGACACTGGAGGAGAAGGTGAAAGCATACGGTGGTGATCAGCGCAACCGTCACTAGGGTAATTGAGGAAAATAAAATCCCTCCGTTGCGGAACGCTTTGGGCAAGAAAATAATCCCCGTGCCAACGAAGGCCTTCAGCAGCGTAAAAAAGGTCTTCATATTAGACGCGTCGCCTGGACGGCCGACTCGTGAACGCCGCCGGGTCCTCTGTATCAAGGGGGTTCGCTCCCATGGCAATGTCCTACTCTCCCGGTCTTCGCTAACCACGGAGTCTTCCTCAGTCTCTGCTAAATCCTCGCCAGCAAAATTACCATATAGATCGAGGAAATCGAGAAAGGACGTCGTCACCCCCGGATAATCAAAATTGCCGTTCTTGTGGTGTTGCACGAAATGGCGACGGAAGCTGCCCGGCTCCATAGCAGCAACGCCCTCTTCTATTGCATCTTCGGGCTGCCTTGGGGGAAAGGAAAAGCTTGCGGCCCGTTTATCTATCTTCGCCAGCTTCGACTTGGCGTCGATCCGGTAAAGGTCACGGTGTATGTCGCCGCCTTGTAGTAGGAGAGAGGACTGCGGCTCCGGGGTGTCCTCCGCATCTCCGCTAGCCGTTTCTGACGGAGCAAAGCTCTCCTCCTGCAGTGAGGCTGTGAACTGGGGGTTGAGATGCTGGGCCAGGATAGCGTCGCGGCCCTCAGCGTCCTGGTCTCGCGGCGTGGAGCTAAGGTTCTGGTCGGACATGATGAAGCTGGGTGGTTACACGGTTTGTAGAATGAGCGGCGGATCGAGGAATTTCCAGGAACCGACGCGGGGGAGACTAGTCACATTCTGCTGAATGCGAATAGAGGGAGAAAACCTTTCTTTTCGGGTCGACCAAGAAGAATATAGAACAAAAGGGACGTCAGAAGACGACGTCACTCTGCAGTCTCGACGGAATCACTGCGGTCACATGACGGGCGATCCGACACAAACAACAAAAACAGCCTTTGGGACTCCATCCCGCTAGACCACTTCGAGGCTAGAGCAGCACACCGCCTCGTCCGGGTCTGTCATTGGTTGAAGCCAGTTTGCATCTATTGCACCCTTGCATAGGGACAGTGCGATGAACATCCATCCAGAGTCAACAACCTCACGGAGTTCCTTTTCTTTCGTCTACATTTCCTTGTTCAGTCAAGCTCTTTAGTTCTTTTGTTAACTTACGAAATGTGGGGCAATAGTATATATATTTCTGGCGGCATTGATCCGCAACGGGCACCTTTGAATATACAAGAATACGAAAAATATATTTCAAAATAATGATGTGATCATAGACATTCGGTCAACCATGAAACCCCCTTCAATTACCCGCAAAACCCGCCTTTTACACATCTTCCGCACCTAAGCGTGGTAGGACGCCATGATAAAGAGAGTCACGCCACTGAATATGACCATATTGCAGTTCATTGATTGCGCAGTGACATGCCACGTGACTGGCAAAGAACTAAGCACGAAAATGACGGCTAAGACGAATTGAAATGATAGCATTGAAGGCTACGGCTGAACCGATGATAATCAGTAAGAGGAGCGACATGATAACAAGGCTAAGGTATAAACATCGAGTGGGGTGGTGAAGCTAGGGCTTTTTTGTTATAGATCAGAATGTGAACAAGACAACGTGATCTTGTTCACCTCTCTTATAGTCCCTTGTTCATTTATGAGAAAATCAAAAGTGAGAATACAAACCTGGCACAAAAGTCCCGAAAATGGGAGACCTTGGTCCGAGGGAAGATATAGATCTGCCGCGATGTCGTCGCAGCATTGCTGATGACCGCATAGAATGCATGGCTATGGGCAGCGTACGATATAGGGGAATGAGTACACGAAAAGGAATCCTCCAACACCAATATACATAACCCCAATGAGTGAGGAAGCAAGAGCTTTATTCTTTCAGTTTACCAACCTCGGCTCTCTGACCATGGGGTTGGCTCCTTCAGGAGTGTCGTCACGGCCTTCCAGCAGTTTGAATCCAAATTTTCGATACAGTCCAATTCCTTGATCACTGGAGGCTATGTAAACTGCGGCCCCGTTGCGGTCAGCGAGATCACATCCCCACTGCACCAACAGGGAAGCGGCACCTCTTCGTTGATGTTGAGGATCTGTGCACAGCATGTCTAAGTCTATACAACATAGTTAGAACGAACGTACGCCAGTCAAAGGGGCTTAACTACAGTAATGCTTTCGTCCCTGCATCAAGTTCCTACGCTGATTCTCGTTTCCTCCGAAATATTGGGTGCAGAGCTCGGCATTTGACTCTGGATGCCATGGCGGAAATCGCTCGCCACATTCATCCGGCTGCAGGTCCCATTTTGCGTATGCAATGATATCGCTGGGGTGCGCGGCATCTACTATCTTGATATACTTTTGATATGGTCTGTTCGCAAGGTCATGGTAATGGGCTTCATTCCACCACGTGCGCACGCCGGGGGTATCGGGAATCAATGCCAGGTTGTGTGGCGTACCGAATGCGCGAAACCAAACATCGGTGATCTTGGGGATGTCGTCTGGACCAACCTCCCTGAGTTGGAGAGTCGACTGATTTGCCATTTTCTCGAAGATTTAATGAGCCTTCCAGAGGCAGAGAAGCTGCGATAACCGCTACGCGGGTCTAATCCTTATATGAACACGACCGTGCAATTCTCTCCACCGTCCTTGGTCCATTCGCAAAGACAGCAGGGAATCCCTGGTCGATCCACCGATGGGAGGTCCCTTCACCACTCATTGTCGTTACCCAAAGTCAATGATGTCAGGAACGACGCTTTAACTTTCGACGCCAGCTGGTAGAGACTTTAAGCCATTCCCATCTTGTGGTTGAGCCTCCCGAGAGGTCCGCTTCTGAACACTATTTCAAGTTGTTCCTACCTGGCGATCTTGAATCACCGACGTGGTGATCAGGACTCTTGTTAGTTTCTACGCCTCCTTCACATTGTACCGTCACAGTGGGAAAGGAATCCTGATGGCAAGTTGATCTGTCTTTGTGAAGCGTCTCCTAACTACCTAAGCGGTGTTGCTACAGCCCCGTTCCTTTGCCGTGGTGATTTTATGTTATGTTTTGCACAGGGTTCTCGGCGTTCAATAGCCTGAATTAACACATGCCGGTAGTTTTTTTGTGAGGTTGATTGTTGCCTCTGTTTAGTCGTTCTACAGCTTTGGCAAATGAATAGGTTTTATTTAAAAGCCACCAAAAACATCGCCGTACACGAGAAAGACCGTGGAAGGAGTGGGCCAAGCTTAAACACTGAGGCCAAGCTTTCAGAAGCTTTAATTTGTGGGTTCGACGGGATAGTCAGCCTGGGGAAATAAGAGCTTGGAAATAGCTGCTAGATTTGCGTGGTACAACTCCTGATTAACCTCCGATCAAAACCTAGAGAGGTCAGAGCCTATCCAAGCATCCTGGTTGGAGTAAGAAACTATCATGAGGAACACGCGTTACCTGATTGAGATATGCGTGTTTGATCATCCTGGTCAATAGCCTAGTATGCTGATAATAATTTGCCCAATTTGCCCTTGGTTGGTTCTGATACTAACATGTCTACTAGTTTTCAAACCTATGTCCCACAGCCTTCCATGACCGTCTTCGTATTGGAGGATCGATCGTCTCGCC